TGCCAATCAGGACACTGACTTTCAACAATGACATGCAAATCCGATTATTAGGAACTTAAATACACGCGTGGATCTACCATAGCAGAGACAAGTAGTAGTCAAGTCGATACTTAGAAATCATGTGAAGAGAGAGATTGAGAAGGGATAAACCTTAGTAGTGAGTTGGAAATCACCGGTCTTCCATTTTCCGCTCCTGACATAGCGATCGCACTCACACAAGCGTCGTAAGAGAGCCAGGATCAGCCCAATCGCGAGATCTGCGACGTCTTCGGTGAGAACGTCGGGAGTGTTGCTGACGCGGATCCCTTTTTCCTTGCATTTCCCCAGATCGATCTTGTCGAGTCCGACGCTGAAGCTGGAGATAATCTCAAGCTTGGGGAGATCATTGATGAGCTGAGCATCAGCGCCGGCAGAAGCATTTCCAACGACGGCGCGGATGGAGTTCCGATGAGTTTCCAGAAAGACGGATTTCTCCGGCGAAGTCCAGAATCGAAGAAGGTTGAAGCGCTTCTGAAGCTCGTTCTCGAGGTAGGAGGACATGGGACACATCATTAGGACTCCGATCGATTCCATTGCTGTGAAAGCGCAGAGGAGTGAGTGGTCAGTATACGTTGACGAGAATGCGTCTCAGGGAACAAAAGACAATGAATAAAGATAATGATGGGCCTTTATGGGCCGTTAAAAGAAATGACCTCAACTGAGAGATATCATCATTACATAAAAGATAAAAGGGTGAAAAAACCTTTCAAATTGATTTTAATGAAAAAAACTTTCCAACTTAAAACTTGATCAACAAATCTCTTCAAATAAATTTTCATTAGTGAAATAACCTCTCATTATATGGTATTGTCAAAATACTAAACAACTGTTATTAATCGATACTATAAAGTATAGTTTGTTAAAAACCGACATATATATTTTATTTATATATCAGAGAATGCAATATTTGTTTAGAAACAATATTCGAAACACAATGCAATCAATAGAAAATTCATGCATAAATCCCACAATT